AAATTCAAACATTAATTTGAGAAGCAAGCAGCCTTTACCATTAGGGGTGGGGTTAACTTAGCCAGGAGGGCAAGAGCTGCTTGTTCAGCTATCCAGGGCCTGGAAGGGGTACCGAGAAGCAGAAGAAACACGGAGTCCAGTGCAGGGCTGTACAGCCTGGTCCAAGCGTTCTGGGGATTAGTAGTGGCTCAACAGGAAAAAGCAGGCAGCGGTCTCTGGGGTAGCCAGAGACGCAGAGACCAGACGTCCTAGAGGGAGGCCTGGGAAGGGCGGGAGGGAGATGGGAGAGTTGGGGCAGGCGCGTTCCTGCATAGAACAGAGGGAGCCCAAAAAAACAGTGGCTTTTAGCTTCTAAGCAGATGTCAAACCAGGCTGTGTACCTGTTCTCAACAGGCAGTCAGGTGGACATGAGTCCAATCCAACAGGTCATAAATAAGGGATCTTTAGACACAAGCCTAAAAACAAGGCTCTGTGTTCACAGGTCATCTGCAGAAAACGCAGCTGCAGCTGTTTCCTGGCTCACCTGCTGCGAACAGCTGCCAGGAGCTTCCCGTCCCCACTGGGACAAGGGCCCAGCCACGGCTGGGGGACCTCTGGGTGGCTGGGGCCAAGATGCCCTCCCATTCTGGGAGGCAGTGTGCTCATCCAGAAGGGGACATGCAGAGTGCGAGGTGGGGTACGGGTTCCTGTCCTTGGCTCAGCACTGCCTGAGTTCATGGAGGCTTGAGACAGGAGCCTGGGGTGGAAGCCCAGCCCCGGGGCAAAGTTCTGAACTTCTTTGTGCCTCAGTTTGTTCATCCATAAAATGGGGATAAAAATAGCACCTCATGCCCCACTGGGGGTCTTGAATGTGATACTCCATGGAAGACGCTTGGATCTCACTGGTGTATGGTGAGTGCCTTTATAATCATTGTCTGCTCATCAGCCACAGCCATCTACCACTATCTGTGGAGCTGGTAACTCCAGCCACCACAGGGCCAGCATCGCGGAGCAGCGAGTTAAGCTACCACCTGCAACACCAGCATCCCACACGGGTGCCAGTTGGAGTCCCAGCTGCTCCACTTCCCATCCAGCTCCCTGCTAACATGCCTGGGAAAGCAACGGAAGATGACCCAAGTACCTGGGCCCCTGCCCCCATGTGGGAGACCTGGTGGAAGCTCCTGGCTTCAGCTGGGCCCAGCCCTAGCTGGTGCGGCTACTCGGGAAGTGAACAGCAGATGTAGGCTCTTCTCCATCTCACTGTTAACTCTGCCTTTCAAATAAGCACATCATAAACACACACACACACACACACATATAAATCTATCCTGTGCAGTCTGATTTGTTGAGGTGCCAGGCCAACAGGGTGTGGGGCTACCCTGGAGTCGGGCCGTGAGCACACGTGTACTCTCTGCACCTCATGCTTGTTCACAGCACCCCTGCTGAAGCGGCGCGGGCCGCGTGCTCTTTAGTAACACACCCCCTGAGCCGGGACCTGCCACACCAGCGAGGCTTCAGACGTGCGGCTGCTGCCTTCTGTGGGCGTCACTGCTGTCCTCCAGCACCTGGCCAGGGTCTCAGGCACCGTCAGCTGCTCCGCAGCAGCCTGGGTTAAAGAAGCGGGGAAGCACCAGCCAGCAGAGCAGGAAGGGTCAAACAGGAAGCTGAATTAGCCCGGCTTCCTTTCGATTCACAGCATTAGGCCGAGCCTGGTTTTTCTTTTCACTTAAGAGGAGCTTTGAGAAAGTCCATTCATCCTCCTCTACTGACTACACACAGATTTCTAACGGCCTGGCATGGCGCTGTCGCTGGTCGTGATCCCATCTCCTGCCCTTCAGCCGCGGAAAGGTTCTGAATAAATGAGAGCCGCTGTGCCGGGGAGTTGGGTGGGGGGGAGGGGGTCTTTGATCTTCCGTGTGGGTCTGGCTGGACGCGGCAGCAGAGAGCCAGGCACCGCCTGCAGTTTCTTCCAGTGCTGTCTGCAGGACTCCCAGCGAGTCTTTCTCTTGTGCAAAAAGCTCCTGTCATCCAGTTCAAGTGGCTTCCCCTCGCACGGTGCGGTGGACCCTGCCTGTGGGGTCTCCTGCTGAGGGGCTCAGACCTCTGTTCTGGGCTGGGGGGACAAGAGGCTACCGGATCTGGGGGGCCTCAGAGCAGGGGCCCAGCCCCTCAATCTACGCCCCCACGCACCTCTACCCAGGTGGGCTCCCTGCCCTTCTCTGCACTCTGGGAGATCCAGATGGGAACAGGCCCATGCTCAACCCCTCCCAGTCTCGACATGGGCAATGTCCTGGCTCGCAGTGCACAAGGCTCCGGCTGGTCCTCAGTCACAGCACATACGGCCTCTGCTTGCATTACAGAGTGAGTGACAGCTTCCTGCTGGGGGGGACGGTCACAGCCCTGCTCCTGCCACAGCAGCCCTCCCTGCGCTGCGCTGTTGGCCTTTCTACCCCTTTGGGCCTTAGTGAGACTTGGGGTCTGCACAGCAGAGAGAGCAGCTCCGTGGACGGACTGCGTGGATGGCCGAGCGCCGATGCGGTGTAGTCACCTGGGGCGCAGTGCCTGCCATGCAGCTGCTGAGTGCAGGCAGGTACGCAGGACGGATGTGCAGCCAGGGGCCCGTGGCTCCTGTCGTCACTGCCTGGCAGGACCCATCTCGAGCCACAGCTGTGTCCCAGGAGAGGGACGCATCGCGGCTCAGGGCTGGGGCTGGAGAGAGGAGCCCCGCCTTCACCCTGCACGTGACCAGAGGGTGGACGGAGCCCCAGCCCCTCTACCATGCACATGGCAGGGCTGGCCCCAAAGCCTTCTAGGATTCCTGGACCGGATGTCGGTGAGCTCAGCTCTCTGCCTTTGGCACTGCCAGGGCACTGTTTCCCTTCCACTCAGTAAAGAGGAAAGGCACCAGGTGTACACAGGCTGTGCAGTGTACACACAGCTGCCCATGGATGGGAACAGAAAGACCCCTCCCCCGCCCCGTGCATCCTCGCTATTGCTTACTCGGCTACTCACAAGGGGCAGCAGCTGGGCCACACCTGGGCCATTCCAGAGAGGAAGCACCGGACTGGGGCTGTGACAGTGGACAGCTGGACCATGTATGTGGAGAGAGAGAGGCCAGGAGGGTAGGACACGCAGTTGTATGTGCACCCAGCCTTTCTAAGTCAAGCGATCCCAGTGGCTGGGACAAAGCTGGGTGACAACCTTGAGGGTAACTGACTACAACTATGGGGACACTCAGAAGCCGGGATTTGAATGACCACTCCCAGGCAGGCAGGGCCCATACCCTCCTCACAGCAACACTCTTCTCTCTGCAGGAACAACTGCTTTGCGGAGCTAAGCAAGTGGCTTGAGACAGAATATTCCAGAAAGTCTGAGCCTGGCCAGGGTAGAGGGGATTTTTCTTTAGAAACAGGAGTCTGATTCTTGCTTCCCCTTGGAATCTGCAGAGTCCTGATTTTCCTCAAAGGAGAGGAACAATGTCACACTGTGTGTTACCCTCAACCTGCTGTCTAGACCCTGTGTGCTTTCACTTAAAAAGCAAAATAAAATAAAAATAAAAACAGCCACTCGCCACCTAGGCACCACTCGACCATCTTAAAACGGCTTCTGGCAGGAGAAGAATGCTTCATTCAGGAGCCGCCCTGCCGGGCAGTCTGGTGGGAGGGGACAGGGCAGCCCCACAGGGTGGGAACCAGACCCGGGAGCCGGCATCGCCTTACCTGATGGCTGATTATCTGTGTTCCCTGCGTTTTCCAACAAACAAAGCCAAGGCAGGCAAAGCCTCCTTTATCTCAGAAATCCCCCCACGCCCCGCCCGACCCTGCTTCCCTCCAGATTTGCCAGTCTCTGGCCCCTCAAGGAAAACAAGGGTAAGAGGTCAAGGCTGACACTGGCCCAGTGGTAGATGTGCATGATTAGCAACAAACAAAAACACGGTGATTTTTGGAAAGGCCCTCCTTGGGGCGCTATCCAGGCATCATTCACCAGACTTTCTGAGCTCCTCCGTGGGCAAGGCGTGCATGAAACACCTGCTCAGCATTCAGTGCCAGAAGCGCCCACGAGAGAAGAGGCCGTCCGTCTATGTTTAGAGATAAGAGCGACGCCGAGCTTGGCGTCACCTCCCGCATCGTCTCTCTTGTACACACATTTTCCGAGGGTAGCAAACAGGTGCAGCCAGAAAGGCACCCCCTCTGGTCAGATGCCAAGGCCTAGGGGGCTCTCCTCTCCCTATGGCGGGGCAGCTGCAGCCACAGAATCGAGGAGGATCTCCTGGTTTCCATCGCCTCCCCTGATCCGCAGCGGGGAGCAGCTCTGAGCATCCGACTTTCTTTACGGCAGATTCTTTTTTTTTCTTTTTTTTTTTTTTAATAAAAATTTCACTGAGCAAATGTAACTGGCAGTGCCAGGGAGTGCACTAACATGGAAGAGATAAAATCAGGGCCCAGTGCCTGCTGCTCAAAAGTCTTGTTAAAAAACAACAAAACCCAGCACTCGAACTTTGAAGGCCACAGAGGACAGATAACAGTGGAGCAGAGCTGGAAATTAAGCCCCGCAGTGCCACAGAGAAGGCTCTTGGCCAGCCCTGAAAGGCCACACCGCACGCAGGTCGCCTCTGGGTGGGCACAGAGAGGACACCTGGGGCTGCTCCTCATCACACCCTGCGAGGCAGGGCAAATCTCCAGTCTGGTCAGTTGTGCTAAACATTAGGGACAGGAATTTCAAACGCAGGCCAAGGGATTTGTACTGTGATTGGCTCCCTGCCACGGATCCATCTGCCACAAAAGGGGAGGAGGCCTTGAAACGACTGTGGCTTCAGGAGCAACTTATCCCAGCTGCACCAAAGGCAGCAATGCAGACAACACAAGCGACACACGCACAGACACACACCGCCATGCACACGCACACCTGCCTCCCGCCTGTGCACATGGCACCATGTGTGTCAACACGGCCAGCCACACCACAGAACAGCAGAGTTGGGTCCAACATGTGTGACAAGTCACTGTGCAGGAACGGAGCCTCACCTGGGCCTCTTGTCCACGGTGGCCACACACATGTGCTGGGAGGGCACTGCTGTCCACTTCTTGGCTTCGAGAACCAGAGCTTCTGCATCCACCAAGCCGAATCCATAGAGATGGCTAACTGAAAAGACAGGGCCATCAGCGCCAGGCCCCCTGCCTCCTCCAGCCCCAGCTGTAGGACAGGCCCTTGGAGGGCTGCCGGGGACTCCACAAGCTCCATTCCCTCGCTCCTGAACCCCTTCGTGTAAGACGGGGCCACACACGCCCTGTTCAATTGCGCAGTGCGATGGAGAGGGCCTAGGACTCTTCGGCTGAGACCAGACAGATCTCTTTACAACAAAGGAGTTGCTGGCATGTGTACTCCCCAAATCCGAGACCAGGCAGGAGAAACCAGCCCTGGGATCCACAGCGTGCCATGCACGGACACAGTCAAGCAAGGCTGCCATGCTCATCTTGTGTGCTGTTTTCTTTGCTTGCTGAATTCTCAGGGCGTTTGGGACACGTGGTGACACACAGCACGAAGAGAGGGTGCCTGCGGACTGGCCTGACCTGGTGTTTAATTTGGCGAAGACAGGAGGGCTTCAAAGTTTAATTTACAAGGCAAGGTCGGGAAGCAGATACGATCTGTTTTCCTATTTAATTAGGCCAAAATTGAAATGTGGGGCAGCTCTTGTTACAGCATACCACTACCGCCAACATTCCTGCAGAACAAAGATGTGGCGAGGCTAGAGCAACGGCCTCCTTATTGAAAGGAATGTCCCTGCGCCCATGAAGGTAAAAATGACACTTGACCTCCACCTGACAGGTCACAATATCAGGCTGGGGGTCCTAATAGCTGGACTTGGGCTTCAGAAAAGGAGCCTTTTTTGAGTACCGCTGGTCGATTCGTCAAATCCAGCAGCCCAGTCCCGTAACTGCCTGCTCCCGAGGCTCCCCATATCTGGGATAATTAAGTTGTGACCAGGCACTGATGTCACGGTACCTGGGTCTGCGTGTCCCAGGGCAGACTGGGGCCAGAGGCCCTGTTGCCCTGCGAGTTACCTAAACAACACAGGAGTTGGCCACCAGAAGTTTCACAGTTGGAAAGTAACTTGCACAACCGTGTCAATGTCTTCTTTGTACAGATGAGGAAAACCACAAATCTACTCAGGGCTAAGAATGCAAGTTGCCCTAAGGTGGCAAACAAACATCATCTATCCTAATAATCATGGATCTGTCTTAATGTACCTTAAAAAATATAATTACCACTCACACCCATGATTAACCAGATGGAATAATGTGTCCTTTAAAACACATTCCTGATGTTGAGAGAAAGGGCGTCACCTTGAAGAGAGTCAACCGACGTCTCAGCTCTCGCAGCTCGGGGACCCACCTGCTGACGACCTTGGGGTCCTCCCTGATGCCAGTGTGAGCACCCAGGGTGCTTCTCTAAATCCCTGAGTGTGTGTGTTTAGTTCTCACAATGCACACCTAATGCTGACGGCTGCTGCTATCTGGGGATCTTGCTAAGCGATTCAAGGGAATTCACATGGCCCCTGAGCCGCGTTCCAAGGGCGCGCGGCAGCCGCACCTTTGTGCCCGGCACCGTTGACCTTCCAGTCGCTTGCCTTGAGGTGGGCCGGCCGGGAGGTCTTCACTAGCAGGTGCTGGACATCCCTCCAGGTCAGCTGGCTGCTGCAATGACACAACAACAGAGCGCTGGCCACACCGACCAGCTGAGAGGTGGTGGGTCAGCGCTGGCCGCAGGCTAGCGACTGCGTTCGCAGGGGTCTACGCCTCCAGCTCTCGGAGAGAACAGTTTCCAGCAATGAAATCCCAAGGTAAAAAAAGCCCAACCGTGAGCCGACATCCACAAGCACGGATGCCCAGCCCTGCTGCCAGGCCCTCCTGGGGTCCGTACGGGACCGACAGGCAATTTTGGAAGCAGAGAAGAAAGACTGTAATGTCATGGTAAATTGTGATTAAGTATTCGGGGCCATTCTGAGCATGATGCGTATCCTAGTAAAGCAGACTCACATCTGTACTGAATGTATGCAGTTTTTCAGTATCATTATTTCCTATGCAATTCCAGATGATACCGTTTGTGTAGTATTTTCTAGAAATGACCTAAGTATCGGGGTGCACTGTGGTAGTGACAGACCACGCATGGGGTCACGAGTCAGAGTTTTCATTTGGTTCACGGCAATCAAACTGTCTTATTGTCAATTTCTGGGCTAAAGTCCCTAGAGGAAGCTGTGGCAGCGGAACGTGTGATTTTGGTACAAATGGGAGCAAGGCTTAGGGCTCTGCTCTGCCCATTCCCAGCCCCCAGCCAGGGCAGGAGATGGCGGGGCCCTGGAGGGAGAGAGGCACTTCTCACCCATGTCGATGGCCTGAAGAGGAAGGGGACTGACACCACGGAGTGCCCTTGATCCGAAATGTGGGGGACCAGAAGGACTTCAGACTGAGGGCTTTTTAAATTTTGGAATATCTGCACAGGCCTTACTGGTTGAGCAACCTTAATGTGAAAATCAGAAAAATGAAAAAAAAAAAAAAAAAAAACAAAAAAAACAAAAAAAAACAATAAAACCTGAAGCTCACAAGGTTTTGGATTTTGGAGCACTTCAGGGCTTTGGACTAGGGATGCTCAGGCAGTACAGTGTGAATCCACTTACATGAGCAGTCCATTTCACACGGGCAGGAAGTCCAAGGGTGGCCTGGGGCAGGGTGCGATGAGTGCGAAGGCTGGAACGGTGTCTCCCTAACATTGGTCTGCTGGGGTCCTAAGCTCCAGTGCCTCAGAGTATGACTACATTTGGAGAACCTTTGGAGGGTCTTCAACAGAGTGATTAAGGGAAAAATGATGTACGAGAGTGGGCACCCATCCAGGATGGTCACTGTCCTCACATGCAATCTGGACACAGATAAGTGCAGAGGGAGGGCCATGTGAGGACTGGGAGAAGGCGGTCACCTGCAAGCCACAAAGACCAACCCTGCCGAGACCTTGACCTTGGAGTGGCAGCCTCCAGAGCTCACAGCAAACAAGGGCCTGCTGCAGAGACACCCAGGCTGAGCAGCCTGAGTGACCACAGTCAGGTTCTAACGTGGTCAAGGCTTCGATTTGGGAAGGTGCAGCAGTTCTGAAGGTGGACGGTGACAACACCGCACAGTACTAATGCCACAGACCTGTACAGCAGCAATGGTGAGTCCTACGCCACGCGTGTCTTACGTGAGACAGAAGGGCAGTGGGGACTTACTTTGCTTCTAGAGCCAGGGCAATGATGCCTGCCACCATGGGGGCCGAGACGGAGGTCCCAGTGTGGCCATCTGTGCAGCGCTGGCGCAGATCCGTGGTGACCTGGACGAGAGGGCCACAGGATGAGGTGAGGATGCAGAGGCTCATCCACTCCCAGCAGACGTCAAGGCTACGCGGCTGCCAATGGGGTGGGGCCCTGGACCCCAGGAAGAGAAGGGGCCTCTGGCCGGCCACAGGCTCCTGCGGCTCTACTCTCGGTACACACGGCACAGACCTGCCATGGGTGGGAACAGGCTAACCTCAGGGAGAGCAGCAGGGGGAGGCCCAGCAGCTGCGAGCCACGCCCTGGCAGCGCTGATGAGCGACTCATTCCGTCACTGCTCAGGAGGGTGGGCAGAGAGGGGCAAGGCCAAAGGAACCCAGAGGGAGCCTCCACACGCCCTTTCCTTGCAGTGCTTGGTATCATGCCGCTGCCACTAACACGAGAGGCCCCCTGGCAAGACCACCTGCCATAGCCAACCCCCAAGTCACCCCTGACTTCAAGGCAGCTGAAAATCCCCCATCCAGGTACAGGCGCCCAGGGGGCTGTTTCTGCCTTTAGCCACAAGGTCACAGATGGGGTTCCCACCCAGACATCCTCCTCAGATAACTGACAGGTGCCACACGCCTTGCAGCTGGCCCCACTGCAGAGACAGGCAGACCTGGAGCACTCTTGACCTCATAGGGCCTGTTGAGCAGGAGGTGGCCAGCCATTCAATTTGGGGAGGGGAGGCTGTTCTGCTGGGGAGGCGGGTGACTCTGCCTTGGGGAGGGGGAGCTGTGCTGGCCCTCGCCTAGGGTGCTGACGCCAGCGGCGTGGACGAGGTGTTTTATACCTCCCTGCAGAACTGAGCCGGGGAGACTGACTCTGGGCTTAGCTATGCGAGACGGGACTGTGGCCCCAGGATCTCGGCCCTGGTGTTAACCTGGGAGAATATCCTGGGTCATGAAGGTGGGCCTGGTATGATCGCAGGACTCTTACAGGTGGAAGGAAGGCAGCAAAGCCTGACGGGGTGACGCGGGCCCTGAAGAGGGAGCCGGGGGACACAGCCAAGGCACATGTGCCCCGGAGCCAAGAACAGGCCTCAGCTGACCGCCCATGAGGAAACAGGAACCTCAGTCCTATAACCGCAGGGAACTGAATGCTGCCAGCAACCTGAAGGAGCCAACGCAGCTCCCCAGGGCCTCCAGAAGGGAACTTGGCACCGTCGGCACCTTGGTTTCTGCTCCGGGAGACTCAACGGAGAGGCCCCGCGGACGCTGCTGGGCCCGACTGCGGAGCTCTGGGCTGCAGGTCTGTGCGTTGGCTGTGTCTGTGACGCTCAGCTCTGGCAGGAATGGAAAAGTAACACCCCACCCACCCACTCTGCATCACCCCGGGGCATGAATTCTTCCAGGATAACAATCCACACCCACTCCCAAACGCAACTCCTTCCCTGGGCTTCAGTGGCTGAGTTAACCAGTGGAGAGGCTGAGCCTGCGTCACCCGGCCACAGGAAGACTGGAGCCAGAGCCCCACCCCTCCCCCTAGCCCGGTCAGCAGGGCTGAGGCACTGGGCGTGCAGGGAGCCACTAAGGGCAGGGGAACGGGGCAAGGATGCGAGCTCGCTGTCCCCAGCATCCCCCTCTGCAAACAGCACAAGGGCACGCCCTTCATGGGCACCTACAGGGCCTTGTGCTTGGTAATGGCAGTCAGCGAGAGAAAGTGGGGTGACTGGGCCAGAGCCCAGCTCCCAAGAGGCCTGAATCAACATCCTGCATCCTGGTGCTGAGCCTGGAATGTGGCTCCTGCCCAGTGGACGAGCAAACTCTCTTCTTCTAGGGGACTGGTGATAGGCCTCACAGGGGCCAGCAGTACAAGGGGTCCACTGCGAACACGGGCTCTGGTGCAACAGAGAAGCCGCCATCCTCACTGCCAGCCGAGTCCCGGACAATGACTGTACTACGGGCATCCATCCAACTACAAGCTTCTGACCCTCATGTTAGCACTTGAAGAATTTTTTAAAAAATTCTTTTCAAAAAGAGTATTTTGTAGCTATGGGGTGCACACCCACAGACACCTGCAAACAGGCACACCCTGGCATGAAGAATTAAGCAAACACAGCCTCAGGCCCGGCCTCCAGAGTTGGGAGACACGGTGCTCCCAGCACACCGTGTCTGTCCGCATGCCCTGACTTGCGTGACCAGTGGGGCGACAGGCCCCTGTCAGGCTTGGGCCCAAGCATCTGTTAAATGAGACGTGGGTATGTCCGTGTTCACGCGAGCTGGATTCCCGAGTGAGCAGGACACCCGTCAGAATCTCGGCTGCCCACCCCAGGGTGTGTGCTCCGGTGGAAAAGGAAAAGAACTTACATTAATCCTCAGTGAAGCAGCCTGGGCCACTGCCAGGCCATGGGCAGGACGATGGCGGCTGACCCCTGGCTGGCACAGAGCAAAGCAGGGGGCAGGAAGCCTGCCTGCTTCTTCCAAAAAATGTAAACCTGCAAGTAATTTCTAAAGACGTGGCTCAGGGGCCAGAGGAATGGAAAAACAACGTGAGCTATAAGACTAAAGCTTGTCTGACCAGCGCCATCGTCTCATGTTTGTTTGTTTGTTTTTTTAAAAAAAGTCTAAAATCCAGTTAGTGACTGTGCAATTAAATTCTGCATTAATTTGGGCTAGAAACCCTGCATTTCTTTTTTTTTTTTAAAGTAGGAAAATGTGTAGGGAAAAAAGCAGCACACAGTCCTCACACATACTACAACAGTTACTGTTTAAAAGATAAATCACTCTTGTTGTAACCCATGAGTCGTACTTTGGAAATTTATATTCATTAAATAAAAGATAAAAAAAAAAAAATCACTCTTGTATTCACCCAAGCAGGTGGCAGACAGAAAACTACTGCTCGAGGTAAAAGTGACCAGGGTACGGCCTGTGCGAGCAATGCAATGACTAGAAGAACATTTCTAGAATGTTCCAGAATGAAACCAAGACTTTCTCTTATGCAGTTTTACAGGTTGGAACTGCACCGGTCAGTTGGATTCCATAGGACGTGACCATGGAATTCCAGAGAACTAGAATGAGATGTGATGAGAATGGACCCCATTCTTAAATGCTATTTTTAGATCTCTGAAGCCAAAGAGGGTTTTCATGGGTTTTTGGGCAGGGAGCAGAGTGCCAGGACACAGGGGTTTACATCCAGGCCCTCACGGTTCTCTAGGGCCCTGAGATCTGGAACAATCTGGCCTCAACCTCACTCATCTTTCTGTGAAAGGCAAAAGGGGCCCCTCCCAGAGGGCTGAGGCTTGTGTTACAAACCCTCAAACTTGGCAGGAGAACTTACGATTTTCCGCTCATAAAAGGCCCCGCTGCTATAGGTGGTGGCCAGGGTGGAGGCGCACTCTTCCAGGTACCAGGGCTTGTACCCGTTCTCGGTGGTGCTGCTCACAGAGATGGTGTAGATGCTGTTGGTGTAGCCGTCACAGGAGCAGTAGTCCCCTTCTCTCCCGCCATTCCCAGACGCCCAGACAAAAATGGAGCCCAGGCCCTGCCGGCCCTAGAGGGAACAAGGACCAGGTAGTAACTCTAGCAGCCAGAACCTCACCGGCCAGGTGTCAACATGGCCAGAATCTCACCTTCTGAACGTCCATTCACAGAGGAGGACAAGGAACTGCTCAGAGTACCCAGCTGCCAGCCTCCAACAGCTTGGCTCTTTTTTTTCTTTTTTAAGATTTATTTATTTACTCAAAAGGCAGAGTTGCAGAGAGAGGCCTTCCATCTTCTAGCTCACACTGGCCAGGCTAGGCCAAAGCCAGGAGCTTCATCCAGGTCTTTCCCATGGGTGCAGGGGCCCAGAGAGTACCTGGCCCACCTTCCACTGCTGTCCCAGGTGCATCAGCAGGGAGCTGGGTCAGAAGAGGAGCAGCCGGGACTCAAACAGGTGCTCCTAGGGGGTGGCAGTGGTGCAGGTGGTGGCTTAACTTGCTGCCCTACAACACCAGCGCCGGGGGGCTGGTTTGAAGGACTCTGTCCTGGTTTTAATGACGTACCTCTGCCTGTGGCATCGGCCGTAGAAGTGGAGAGGCACGGGACTGTGGGGGACAGGGCAGGAGAGTCTGGGGGTTCCTTCTGGAAAACTCGGGTGCCAGCAGAAGCTGCTCTCCTGCAGGGCAGGCAGAACAGACCCCGTCATGACGGCGGGGGTCAAAGAGACCCAGCAGTGCCGCGGTAGCACCGAGGTTACAGATGGCGCTCAATTTCTCCAGGCTGAAAGAGCCGGTCTTGTAGGGAGAACACATTTCTGTGAAAACACAGCCGAGGAGGGAACCCTTCTTGGGGAGCAAGCTCAGCCTGCAGCAGTGGAAACGGGTCTTGGTGCAGAATGCTGGTGGCTGCACTCGGCAGTCTGATTCACACTCCTGGAGTCTCCACTTTGGACGGGTGTTGGCGTGGTCAGATATCAATGCCTGCCCAGGACACTGGCCTCACTTCTGTGCAGGCTTCTAAGCACGCATGCGTGAAAGCCAGGGTCTGAAAGACAGCAGCCAGTCAGGACAGGTTCTTCCAGGATCAATGACTTCTGATCAGACCAAGAGCCATCAACACACAAACACCTGCAAAGCGTTGGCTGGACTGGATTCACTGATGCAGCCCCTGTAGCTGGGCCTGCTGGTGGTGCTCAGGCAGCCCCAGAGCGCAGTGCCGGCATTTGTCTCCATCTGAAACCAGATCCGTGCGGTTCTTACCCAGGCCTCTGCTTTCCAAACTCCCAGGAGGCAACTAATGCTCATACCCAGCAACTGGCCATCGCAAGGCCACTCGAACCACACCCTGCAATCCTTACAGTCAGCTTGAGGGCCCGCTGTGCCCTGGACACAGCACGCTCACCTCAGAGTGTGGGTCCCCCTTCGCAGAGCACAGCCACCTGCTTAGTAGCCCAGGGGACTCCAGTGGGGACCCAAGGTTCCCGACTGTCTGCTTACTCGGCTCAGCTGCTGCACGCTGCTTCGCTCACTGCCTGCTGCATCTCTCAGAGGTCTCACCTGAGCAGGCAGCAGCTCTACAGAAAGGTCATTCACGTTCGGTCAAACAGTCCACTTTCTGGGGCCAGCACTGTGGCGCTGCCTGTGGTACCAGCATCCCATGTGAACACCAGTTTGAGTCCCAGCTGTCCCACTTCCAATCCAGCTCCCTGCTAATGTGCTTGGGAAAGTGCAGAAGATGGTCCAAGTGTTTAGACCTCACCAACCTCATGGGAAATCTGGGTGGCATTCCAGGCTCCTGGCTTTGGCCTGGCCCAGCCTGGCTATTGCGGCCATCTAGGGAGTGAATCAGCAGATGGAGGATCTCTGGTCACTCTGCCTTTCAAAATAAATTTTAAAAATTCTTTAAAAATATTTATTTATTTAATTTGAAAGGCAGAGAGAGACAGTGAAGGAGGGAAAGAGTGAGAGACTGATCTTCCATCTGCTGGTTTACTTCCCAGATGGCTGGCGCCCATATGGGATGCCAGCACTATAGATGGAGGCTTAACCTGCTACACCACAGCACTGATCCCAGTAAATATTCTTTTTTAAAAAAAGTTAATATTGGGGCCAGCGTTGTGGTGTAGCAGTAAAGCCGCCACCTGCAGTGCCAGCATCCCATATGGGCGCTGGTTTGAGTCCCGACCGCTCCACTTTTGATCCAGCTCTCTGCTATGGCCTGGGAAAGCAGTAGAAGATGGCCCAAGTTCTTGGGCCCCTTGGGCACCTGCATGGGAGACCTGGAAGAAGCTCCTGGTTTTGGATTGGCCCAACTCTGGCTGTTACAGCCATTTGAGGAGTGAACCAGCAGATGGAAGACTTCTCTCTCTGCCTCTGCCTCTGAGTAACTCTGCCTTTTCAATAAATAAATCTTTTTTTTTTTTAAGTTAATCTTCTGGAAGAAAGGCACAAAATACTATGGAAAAGGTGTGTCTGCATTTAGCTACCTGGAAGAACAGAAGCCACTTTAAAGGAACCAACATCCAGTGAAAAGGCACTTGGCCCAGCAGAGGCTGATTTCATTCCATGTGAGACTCACCCCTAGACACTGTCACTCTCAAGCCCCCTCCCCTTCAAAGTTACTTACAAACGTTGTCACTTTGCAGGGAGGAGCGGGCAGTCTTACTGCTCCAAGATGACGGCCTGCAAGGGTGCTCCCAAAACACGAGCCACCGGGAATCCTGATCCCACGTGGAGCCTGCTTGGCTCCCAGGTGATGCCCTGCCTTGAACACCCAGGGCCTTACACTGGGCACCATCTGGACAATCCCTTCTCACATGCATCACAGTACCAACAGCCTCTCTGCTTGCTTAAATGATTCCTTGAATAAAGCGAACATGGGAATGACACGGCGGGGGTGGGGGCAGAGAAAGCACCCGGATCTGAGGTGTAAGGAGATGTCCACTTTTCAGAACTCCCTCTGGTTCCTCCTGGAAGCCACAGGACAGCAGCAGCTACAGGGACGCTGCAACCTGACTACGAACCTGCGTTCTGTTCAGTGAGGCCACAACCTCCGCCTGACCAACTCGCAGCCTCAGGAGCTCCCCAGGACGCGGAGAGTCTATCCCTGAGCTCAGAAGCACGACTCGTGCCGGCTAGCGCCTGCCAGCGCCTGGACAGCCCAGAGCTCTTAGCTGCTGTGAGGTCTGAGCTCCGCTCCTGCACCACAAGCCCCGGGAGGAGCCGGGCCTCGCAAGTACCGACATTCAGCCAGGTCTCCGTGCCAAGTTATGGCTTCCAAAGGCTCCACCACCAGGCTGCACCATCCACCAGATGAAGTCAGATCTTACTGAAAACGACTACAGGTGACAAACGGGGTGGCAAGGAGGAAAAACAGATGGGGGGACGTGGCTGGCTTTGAGATCATCCAATTTCCAGGAGGATTTTCCGTGACAGCCCCAGACAGCTGCGATTTAAGGCTCCCTGTATGACATATTTTACTTCAGAATGACTAAAAAAAATTAAATGACCTCAGTATTTCAAGAAACCGTGACAAGGAGGAGGGGGACCACATGGCCCTCCTGCAACTTCCGCGCTCCCCTGACGGCCGGTCTGAAGTCAGAAGGCAAAGCTCCCCTCTCTGCACTCGCCCCAGGGAGACAGACAACCCTGAACACAACCCTAGTGCCGCAGGAAACGGGCGGGCGTCTCCTCCTGAGAGCTCACAGCCCCAGAAGGCATCTCAGGGAATCCAGTCGGGTCATCTCCTCACCAGGACGGGGTCCTGAGTGATGCGGGGTGGGAGGGGAGCGGAATAACAGAAGGATGTAAGCTGTATGTTTGGTGGCTCCCGTGGCCAGGGGCTGAGCCGAATCAGCCAAGTTCACCCTGCCCCAGCTCAGGGGCTCAGCAGCCTGCCTGAAGCCCCCATTGTGTTTTCCTGGGGCCCGGGAGGATAAAAGGAAGCTTCCAGGCATCCCAAGCTGGAGCACGGGCCACGCGGTGTGCATGCGCCGTGTGTGTCTACACCATCTCTCTTCCTTCACGGAATTTATTCGCGCATGGACTACCTGAGCGAGGACCGAGCTCCGAGGGACACAAGAGTGGATGCCCCTACTTCTGGTCACCTATTCACCTATTTCTCAGGCACACAAGCCCTGAGTGGTCAGAGGGAGACAGCAGGGAGGGGCGGCCTCCGCAGCACCGGTACTGGGGCAGGTGCGAGCGAGCAGGTGCACCTCAGCTGCTCTGGCAAGAGGCAGAGATTCCTGCGAGCCCCAACCCAGGAAGCGCCGGGAAAAGGGCAACTCGGGGCTTGGAGGAAAACCACTCGATCCCACAAAAGGAAACGGATGAACAGTGATGGAACAACGCACACAAGAAAGCAGCACACCCCGTTACTTAGAAAACAGAATCCCACACAAGACTTCAGAGGCTGTTTTTGGTACAATCCTTGCTTGATGACTTTTTTAACCATGTTTCACTCACTGTGTGTGGATTACAATATAATAAAACCTTTGAAAAATATTTTATAAATAAGAAAATGGGCACAGCCCCCCCCCCAACATGAGAGATGCCTGCCCTCCCGCAGTGGCCCTGGCCCTGCTGGCAGTCGCTGGCCACGCCTCATGTTCTGGGCTGGGCCTTGCTGGCCACCCAGGGCTGCCTGGACACTGACCGCAGCGCCGTCTGCCTGCTCCAAGAACCGTCTGTGCTCAGGGCTCCGCCTCGCCACCCACTGCTAAGAGCTCGTTCACCTCCAGCCACTTCTTCACATCCTTGTGGCTGGGCGGCAGCCAGCCATGCTGCGAGGGGCCCTGGAGTCGCACACACCCGTGGGTGGTGCACAACGTTCCACTCCGGGTATTTCTCTGGACAGGTGAGCCAAGGGCCAGCACACCCTTTCCACCTGCGGAGCCCACACAGGGACCCCTCCCACCCTCCGACACGTCACTGGCAGGACCAGGCAGATCCCAGACCCGCGTCCGGCTGCTCCCACTGGAGCAGGAGGAACCCGCCTCCCTCCCTCCCTCCAGCCCTGGCCGTGTCTGTTCTGCTTCAGGGCTCCCTCCGACCAGCGCGCCGCGGACTCCTGAGCGTTAACACTGCGCCCCCGCGGCCCTGGTTACGCACACCTTTTTAATGCCGTACTCGAAAGCCTGCTTAGCCAGGCGGCCAGGCCCGTCCACCGTCTTCCCGTCGTCGTCCGGGCCCCAGCTGGCGCTGTAGATGTCGATGTAGTTGGGGCGGATGCCCAGCGACTTGGCCTCCACCACGTCCGTGACGTCGCCGTCCAGCATGCGGATGCCTGCAAGCACAGGAGGGGCCGTCGGCGCTGGGAGGGGCGCGGCAGCCCGCACAAGAGCCTGCGCAAGGAGCTCTTCCCCGCACGGAAGCTTTGGAACGCTGGCTTCCCGCCCCAGGCTGGCTGACGTGAAGGAGCTAAAACGAGGCACAGGCTACGCCACGAAGCGCTGCCATGGTGCGGAGGCAGAAAAGGAAGCCAACGCGCCACTTCCAGAACAAACGTGCCACTTCCGGAAGGGAAGGAACAAACGGGCCACTTCCGGAAACGAAGGAAGGCGCCATTTCCAGAAGAAACGCGCCACTTCCGGAAGGGAAGGAGCAAACGGGCCACTTCCGGAAGAGAGGAAACGCGCCACTTCCGGAAGGGAAGGAACAAACACGCCACTTCCGGATACGAAGGAACAAATTAACCACTTCTGGAAGGGAACAAATGCACCACTTCCGGAAGGGAAGGAACCAACGCACTACTTCCGGAAGGGAAGGAACGCATTAGCCACTTCCGGAAGACAGGAAACGCGCCACTTCCGGAACGGAAGGAACACAGTAGCCACTTCGGGAAGAGAGGAAATGGGAGGGGAGGAAACACAGCCCCTGCGGAAGGGCCGTTCCCAGTCGCTGTTCAGTCTCCGTTCCCTTGCCGGTTCTGGTCGTGGTGTGTAAGTCACCACGAGCCTGACGGTGAGCCTTTGACTTGGTCGGCGGAAGCGCATCTGGCCTGTGGCTGAAGGGCTGGGGTCTTGATCTCAGCTCCATCTGGACTCAAGTTCCTTACAAGTGGGTGCTCCCTCATGAGCACCACAAAAGGAGAGGGGGGCTGGGTTCCCATGGGCCCCCCTGGATGCCCACCAGGGGCCGCGCCTCCTCGCCACCCCCACCCCACCAGCCAGAGGGGTCGGTAACGCTGGCGCTGACAGTGCCCAGCGCGCCCCTCCTGGGTCCTCCTGGGTGGGGAAGGCAGAAGTGATGCCCAGAAAACCCGCTGTCCCCTCAGAGGTCCCCGGGGGCCCCTCGGACACCAGGCCCAGGCCTGGGTACAGCACAATCGTCCTCTCATCAAAGCTAATCCGAAGGCTTGGAGTTCCTGAAGGCACAATGGGAAAGTGTCCTTTTTCTAAGAATAACATGTTTGTATGCTTTCTGCCCTGAATTTGGGAAACACACACCAGAGGTGAGATGTTTGCCACTTTCTTCTAGTATTTTCTCTGCTTACATAGCACAGACTTATTTCCAAACACTTTTTTCGCCACTAAACTTTATGCAGAACATTTCCCTGTGCCATTTAAAACTCTCTCCCCAAGACATGGTTGCTAACAGGTGCAGCCCCCATGCCCCACACTCCATCCAGGTAACTTTCTCTTTGGCTCACCTCACCTGCACTGGCCTACATCAACACGTGGTAGGTACTCAAAACAGGAACCTCGAATATAACAACACACCCTTGACAAACGTCCTAAAGGCTGCCTCCATAGTCTACTTCACCAGAAACCAGGAGGAAAAGAGCAAGTGTGAAGATAGGTGGCAGGCCAATCAATAACAGCTTTGCACAGCGATCTGCCAGTCCACCCCTAAAGGGTACCGGTTTTCAGTGTGGTAGGCCAAGGCTTTGTACAGATAGTAGTCATGACAGAAGCCAGCTGCAAAGAGCCCTGTCAGCTCTGCCAAGAGCTGGGCCACTAGTAATGGAACTGTCCTGGGGCTGAAGGACACCCAGGTCAGAGCTGCAGACCCTGTTGGCTCTCCCTAAGCTGAAAAAGCCCTTCACTCTACCCAGCTTCCAAATAACCATCGCTATTGAGGGCATGGCCAAGGATCAGTCACGGTGCAGGCAGGACTTTTAGAGATGCCATCTGTTCTGTACTGACCTCCTCCCAGGCCAGCTGGGTCATGGGAGTCAAGTGGCTGAGTTACTAATGAGCTCCACGCCTCCTTCATAATGTCTCTTCCAGTACTCCATGTGGAGAGAAAGGTAAGTCTGAACCTCATGAAGACCTGGCCAGGCCTTAACACCCACCTGGCTATTATGAAGCCACTCCTGTCCGTTTCTAGTTGCCTCTCAATGGGAAAACTTCCTCCTAAGTCCTTTAGTAATGATTCTGTCCTTTGTCTCAGACCCAGTGTATTTAATATGCTTGTTAGAGTTGTTGCCTCCAGACTTAACGACCATGCACGTGAAATCTCAAATAGAGACGGTTTCTACAAGCTGGCATGGTGGCCCCGAGAACCCTGCTGGAACCCTGTCTTGACCACAGGTCCCTACTTCACCCCTACCTAGCCTGAAGAAGTCAGACCAGTCATTGTGCTAACCCTGGTCAGCAGCCAGGGTTTCCATAAGCAGAGGGAAGGAATGAGGGAGCCTGGGACGCGAAGTAAGACTAAGATCTTCCCACAGCTCCCTGCTGGCATGTACAGACTAAGCAAAGCAGGAGTGTTCGTTCTTTGTGCTAAGCAGGCATGTACCTGTCTTCCCACTAGCTGGACAGGGACACGTACTCTCATATTCTTACTTCTTCCTTCGTCCTGGACTCTAGGCCAAACATTATTCCCTTTCTCCCGAACCAGATGTGTGATGAGGGACACTCAACTTAGCCTTAATTACACTGGTTTGGCCAGTGCCGCGGCTCACTAGGCTAATTCTCCACCTGTGGCGCTGGTACCCCAGATTCTGTCCCGGTTACTTCCTCTTCCAGTCCAGCTCTCTGCTGTGGCCCAGGAAGGCAGTGGAGGATGGCCCAAGTGCTTGGGCCCTGCACCCGCATGGGAGACCAGGAGGAAGCAAGCACCTGGCTCCTGGCTTTGGATTGGCGCAGCACCGGCCATAGTGGCCATTTGGGGGGTGAATCAATGGAAGGAAGACCTTTCTCTCTGTCTCTCTCTCTCATTGTCTAGCTTTGCCTGTCCAAAATAAAATAAAATAAAATAAAATAAAATAAAATAAAATGAGCAAGCTAATGAAATCTGTTTGCAAAATAGCTCCTTCTCATCATTTTGGCTGTGGCCATCTTTCCCACCATGGCTGATGTCTCCACTTTACCCATTCCTCCTCACAGTCCCAGTGCTTTTATTCCTACCATGTGTAATTAACAAATTTCAAAAGTTTCTACACGAATGGGTAACCACTGTGTCCCGAGTCATCACACAGGAACACAAGACTGCTCTTCTCCAATCAATCTGATCCAGAGTAGAGACCTTGTCCCGTGACAACGCCACACACAAGCAGGAAGTAGCCAGAAAGAAACCGGCGCCCCTTCCCCCATCTATATTCAGAGTCAGGATTGATGGAGCAAGGACCAAAGCCTCAGCTCTGCTTTGGCCTCTCACTTGCGTGACAAGCAGCCCGCCCTTGCCTGCACTCTCCTCCTGCCGGCTCAGCTCCGTCCTGCCTTGACCAGCCCTGCCCTGCCTCAGCTGCTAGACATACCACCATCTAAAGAGTCTGGCCATCAGCCTGAGCTCCCCACGCCCTCCCAAGCCACCCCACCCCAAGGTCTCCTCACTCTCGGCATCCCAGCCTTAGTCTAGACCCCCAAGCCCTTCCCAACTGCTTTGTGATACATAAGCCACTACTTTGTAAGGGCAGGTGCGCTCTCTGCTGAACATTCACCAGGAGCGGGCCCCTCCCAGGTGTATTCTTTGAATAAACCTGGTCTGGTTGTGAGTTCCTGTTCTGCCTCTTCTTTGTCTTTCTCTCCTGTCCTTACCCTAATAGCCTTACGAGACAAAAGAGGGACTCTTCCCTGAAGTTAGGGGAAGGACAGGACTCAAGGTCGGCCAGGGAGGCGAGGACAAACATCTCCCGTGAATTAAACCCTCCCATCCCATCCCTTTAATCACAGGGCCGATGCTGTGGTGCCGGGAGCTCCAGTTTGAGTCCTGGCTGCTGTGCTTCTGATCCAGTTCCCTGCTGATGTGGCTGGGACAGCAGTGCAGGACAGTCTGAGTGCGTGGGCCCCTGCCACTCATGTGGGAAACCCAGATGGAGTTCCTGGCTCCTGGCTTCGGGAGCGGCCATTCAGGGAGTGAGCCAGTAGATGGATGATCTCTTGCTCTCCTGTCTCTCCCTCTCCATGTCCCTGTGCATTTCCAATAAATACATCTTTTAAAAAATAATGACTAGGTGTGCATCTTCCCAAGTAGTATAAAAATAAATAAATAAATAAATAAATAAATGGCAATTGGGGGCTCTGTGCTGTCACTTCCAATGGATAATTGATGGGCAGAGGTCTCCAACGCCCAGCAGTGGCTCTGGCCCAGCCCACACGGATCATAAACAACCGCACCCCATGGCCGGCCAGGGTGAGGGCCTGTCTGCCTACAGGGGGTGTGAGGACTTGCTGCAGTCAGTTCTTCTCTCCTGCCAATCCATCTGACCCCGCTCTGAAGGCCCAGGTTCTCCCCATCAACGGTGGCCCTGAAACTGTGCAGCCCTGAGCCACGGAATTCACGAGTCACCGCAGGGGCCGGCGCTGTTGTGCAACGGTGAAGCCGCCACCTGTGACACCAGCATCCCATATGGGTACCGCCTCAAGTCTCAGCTGCTCCAATCCAGCTCCCTGCTAATGCACCTGGGAAAGCAGTGGAAGATGGCCCAAGTGCTTGAGCCCCTGTACCCAGATGGGAGACCGAGATAAAGCCCCTGGCTCCTGGCTTCAATCTGGCCCAACTATGGCCATTATGGTCATTTGGTGGGTGAACCAGAAGATGGAAGATCTCTCTCTCTCTGTAACTCTGCCTTTCAAATAAATAAATAAGTCTACAAAAACTGGGGGGAATGATAATTACTTCCCCCTTTGTTTAAACAAAACACTATTTGCTATGTACTAAGGATTCTACGTCACACACACTGGTTATAAAGCCTAGTAAATGAGGCCTCTACTCAACACAGAATGCGGATGTGACTCCCGCCCCGTGTCCTGCCGCCCTGGCCTCAGAGGGAGGGCTCAGGATTTTGGATGACTCACTCCCTCACCTTTCTGGTGATGCTTTCATAGCACAGCATCCTAT